GCTGGAAAAAATAAGACAGATTTCGTTGAAGATTTTCATCATGTACTCATCAGAACAATCCACACGAATACCAATTTAATAATTTAATTTATTTAGTAACTTAATGCCAATTTAAGGTGAAATTTATACTGAATGAGGGAAGAGTACGGATTGATAATATAATATTATTCATTTAATTTAATACCATGAATTAACGTGCATGCAAATTGTTCTGACGAGTGCAAGATGAAAAGCTTCAACAAAATCATTGTAGGCTGGATATCAAACAATAATGCGTCAGAATACAGGAAGGAAATAAAATGCTTGGTGACATGTTGCAATGATAACAATCTCTCTCTCTTTCTCAATGTCAGCAAAACAAAAGAACTGATCACCAACTTCAGGAAGAAAGGAGGAGGACACGCCCCTATCTACATCAATGGATGTGGGGAGGGTTGAGAGCATCAATTTCCTAGGAGGGACAATAACCAAATCTGTCCTGGACCTCCCATGTAGATGCAATGGTTAAGAAGGCATAACCACGCCTCTTATTCCTCAGGCAGCTTAGGAAATTCAGCTTATCCATAAGAACAATCACCAACTTTTACAGATGCACCACAGAAAGCGTTCTATCCAGGTCCATAACGGCTTGGTCATATTACTGCTCTGCCCAGGACCGTAAGAGACTACAGAAGGTTGTGTACACAGCCCAGACCATCTATGGACTCCATTTACACTTCTCATTGCTGCGGAAAGGCTGCCAACATCAAAGACCTCTCCCACCTCAGGCAGACAATATAGAAGCTTAAACACACATACCAACAGGTTCAAGAACAGCTTCTTCCTTGCTGTTATTAGACTGCTGCATGGACGAATCTAATTTCGAATCTAATGTTAATCTTGCTTTTGTGCACCTCCTGTGCAGCAGTAACCTTATATGCCTTGCTCTGTCTAAACACCCTATGATCTGTATGTCCTTTTATGTTATGATCTGCCTGCACTGCTCACAAAACAAAACTTTTCACTGTACTTTGGTACTTGTGACAACAGTAAATCAAATCAAATGTGACTTTTTTTTAAAAGCATGTACAAATTTTGTGTCAGATCAAACAACTGCTTTTATATCCCTTCTGTATCTCTTATGTTTCAATAAGATCATCTTTCATTCTTTCAAACCCCAAAAGAATATAGCGGCAAACCGTTCTATTTTTCCTGATAAGATAGAGCCATTCAGAGGAATCCTAGTTGAGTGAACCTTCTGTAAACTATTCCCAATGCAATTGTTAAGTAAAGAAACCAAAACCGTAGACAATCTTTGCACTGGTAAGACTTTGTAAAACTAGGCCATTTCTGGTTGGTTATCTGTTAATAGCTACGCTGAAACAGACTCCCAGATCAACTGGCCGACCCAACTTGCTAGCAGCTATGATACGTAGTACACATTAACTTTATTCACATGTTGTCAGAGCAGGGAACTCCCACCTGTCGAAAAATAACTGAAATCACTCATCGCAAACTTTCTGGCGAATTATTTGGAACATTCGTGACAATCACAGATTAGTGTGTTAATAGGACTCCCAGAACGTAGGGCATTCCTCTGGAATGCCTTGGGGTATTTCAAATGATTAAACTGTGTCATAACAAATGCAAGTTGTTTTTGTTGGAACCAAGTTCTTTAAAATGCTGCACCTGCAACACTAGCAAAACAATTAAGTATTTTACTGGAACATCTGTAATATTCCAACAGGCTGTTCATGAGACAGTTGTGTCCCACTTCTGTAACTGTATTTGCTGCTAGAGACTGGGGTGGGGGGGGGGGGGGCACCATCGTACAAAGTGATTCTAGTTACTAACTCCTGAAGCATCTGCTGATGAGAGAAATATGCAGAAAGCCCAAGAGAAACTCAGCAGGACTGGCAGCATCTGTGAAGAGATAGAGATAAAGAGTTAACATTTTCAGTCCAATATGACTATTCTTCGGATCTCTTGGTGCTGAAGAAGAGCCATATTGGACTTGAAACATTAGCTCGATCTCTCTCTCTCTCTCTCCACAGACACTGTCAGACTTGCTGAGTTTCTCCAAAAATTTTGTTTAATCTTACATTCTCCAGAATACGCAACATTCTGCTTTCGTTATTGCAATAGGAGATACATCGTGTCACACTTTGGGAATCTCTTCCTAAATCCTTCCTGACCCATAAAATCCTTCCCAAAACCTTATGTCAGTCAAACTTTCAGGCACCACTTAACTCCTCAACTTTTTATACACCATCTGATTAGTCCATTTTTAATGGGTTTCCTTCTTAAAAGGTACAAATGTGGGGAGGCGGTGGCCTTGTGGTATTATTGCTGGACTGTTAATCCAGAGACCCAGGTAATGTTCTGGAATTTGAATTCAATTAATATCTGAAATTAAGAATGTAATGATGACCATGAATCCATTGCCAATTGTCAGGAAAAAAACCATCAGGTTCATTAATGTCCTTTAGGGAAGGAAACTGCCATCCTTACTTGGTCTGGCCTACATGTGACTCTAGACCCACAGCAATGTAGTTGGCTCTTAATTATCCAGAAGGGCAGTTAAGGATGGGCAATAAATGCTGCCTGGCCAGTGATGTCCCTCATTCCATGAATGAATAAAGAAAGAAAAAAAGTTGCTGCTGATGCAGATTCACTATTCAACAATCTGACTGGATCCAAGCTTAGAAGTAGGAGATCACTGATTTGTGATTAGCATTGTGGGGTATAAGGACACAGGGGTTATGCTGCAGTTATACAAAACCCTGGTTAAGATTCCACTTGGAGTATTGTGAGCAGAGCTGGGCACCATACCTTAGGAAGGATAGATTGGCTTTGGCAGGGAGTACAATGCAGGTTTACAAGGATGATACCTGAACTTCAGGGGTTAGGTTACAAGAAGAAATTATACAAATTAAGCCCTTTTTTCTCAAGAACTTGGAAGGTTAAGCAGTGATCTGATTGAAATCTTCAAGACATTACAGGAAAGGGCAGGGTAGAGAAAGATAAACCATTTCCACAGGTTAGAAATTCTAGAACTCGAAAAGGTATCATCTGAGAATGAGGGCCAGACTGTTCAGGAGAGATGTTAGGAAGCATTTCTACACACAAACGGTGGCATTTTTGCTTTTATTCAAATCACAGGATCTTAACATCACTGGCCAGGCCAGAATTTATTGCCCAGAGGGCATTTGAGAGTCAAATTGCTGTAGGTCTGGAGTTATATGTCAGCCAGATTGGGTAAGGATGGCAGATTTCCCTCCCTAAAGGGGGTTAGTGAACCAGATGGGTTTTTCCAACAATCAGCAGTAGTTTCATGGTCATCATTAAACTTTCAATCCCAAATTTCTTTCCTTTATTGAATTTAAATTCCACCACCTACCACTACAGGATTTGAGCCTGTGTTCCCAGAACATTAGCTGAGTTTCTGGATTAATAGATTCATGATAATACCACTAGGCCAGGCAGAGGCTTGGACATTCCTTCCACGAGTGACAGTTGATTCTAGCTCAGCTGTTAGTTTTAAATCCAACATAGATACAATTTTGTAAAGCAAAGGTATTAATGGATATGGGCTACAGATCAAACATGATTTTATTAAATGGCAAAACAGGCTTGAGGGGCTAATCCTTCTGTTCCTCTGTTCATCCTGCAGTGTAGTAATTAACATTTGATGTCCCATAGAACAGTACATATAAACAGTCCATGCTATGCTATTGCCTTTTTAATGCACGTAACATACGTACTTATGGAGGAGTCAGCCTGCTTATTACAACCTCATAGCCATGTAATAATAACTAGGTTCATGTACAATAGTTTTATTGAACAGCTCACTGACAGAGGAGCCATTTGATTGATGTTGGTCTTTCACTGTTGTTAATAATTATTAACTTCAGAACTGAGCATTTCCCTGTAGTGCTGTTCAGCTGCTTTAGAAAGTACAAAAGCCACATTTGCACGTGACACTAAAATAGGATTCATTCTAAAGAGGAGGGCTTTGCCTTATGAAGAGAGATTGAGCAGTTTAGACCTATACCATCTGCAGTTCAGACAGATGAGAGGAGATCTAATTGTGGTGAATAAGATGCTAAAGGGGATTGACAAAGTAGACGTAGAGAGGATGTTCTCTCTTGTGGGGGCAATCTAGAACGAAAGGTCATAGTTTTAGGATCAGGAGTAGCAGATTTAATACAGAGATGAGGAGGAATTACTTTTCTCAGAGTCATGATTCTGTGGAATTCAACCCTCCAGAGAGAGTGTGGTGGATGCTGGGACACTGAATACATTTAAGGAGGAGATAGACAAATTTTTTAATAAGTAATAGTTGAAGGATCATGGGAAGCAGGCAGGAAAGTGGAGTTGAGGCCAAGATGAGAACACAGAAATGTATCAAATGGAATAAGCTTGAATGGCCCATTCCTGCTCCTAGTTCTCATGTTACTAAATTGTGGACTAGGACTTGAACCTGGAGCCTTCAGACTCAGAGCAGGAGGTGTGCAACCAAACAGGCCACTCTGGCTGTTGCCAAAGCTGGAGATCCAAGGCGCTGAGAATCTGACATGATTTGAGCACAATATGGAGTCAGGCGTGTTACCATTGTGCCACAGACTCAGTCAGTCTCTCTTTATATGTGTTCAAGCTACTTAATCAATAATTTCTACTTGATTGTCCTTAACATAACATTAACCAATGCATGTAACACACTATTACTGCTGGAGACAAGAGGTGCCATTATGAAAAATGGGTCGCTGGACTTGAAACATTAACTCTGCTTTCTCTCTCCACAGATACTGCCAGACCTGCAGTGTTTCTCCAGCAATTTCTGTTTTCATTTCATGATACAGAGTGATTCTAGTCATAACTCCAGAAGCATCTGCTGTTGGCAGAAACAAACACGGAATGCTGGAGAAACTCAGCAGGTCTAGCAGCATCTGTGCAGAATGAGAAAAATAAGGTTGATGTTTCAAGTCTGATCTGGCTGTCACGCATTTGGAACGGATTACCTCTCGTCAGCAGTAGAGGACAGTTTGGAGAACACATCACCCTCAGCAGCTTTTGATTGCTCTTCTCTGCATTCCCCATGATTCCCAGTGGTCCTGTCTTGCCCGAAGCCTCCTGAAGGAATGGGAGGGTCTATCCGAACAGTACCAAGTTTCGAATTTGGGTAGTGAGGACTGTCAGGCTCGTCTGCACTGGTTACATTGTAATCTGCCATGACCTCATCCAGGTTGGTCTCCTGGTAACGCCTGATAGGCACAGCGTCTAAATCTGTCTCGGAGTACTTCATCGCTCGATGTTGGTCTCTTGCTTTGTAATCCATGGAAGTCCCATTTGACAAAGGTGCACTCAGATCATTAGCTACTTTGGCTGAGCCTTGACTGACCAAGCCTAGTTGTACCTCAAGAGATCCGTTGGCCGAGGCTCCCTGGCATTTGGTCTCCACTGTCTCCCTGGTTGTGGTGTTGTCTGGATTCACCAGCACCTGCCAGGTTTTAGAGTCACCTGCAAAGCAGGCAACAGACTGTTAGGAGCTGAACACCACAGAGCTCAGTGCTGGAGGCAAGAAGCTCTACAGTGACCGCGCAAGCCCAAAATAACACCCATTTCATATTGTACAGGATACACTGCCAAAGTGGATATCATTGGAACACTCCAACACTTGTACAAGTCCACAGAGTCTAGCAACCAGTAAGCGCGCACACACACACTAGGTTCTTCGGGGAGTGCAAGTTAGGCAAATAACCACTCATACATGTGGCTATAGCCACGGAAGGAATGCTTGTGGAGCAACCTACAAATCCTTCCATTACACAAAAGATGTAGTACTAAAGCAGGCCATACAGCCCACTAATGCCCTTTAGAGAGGGAAACTGCCATCCTTGCCTGGTCTGGCCTACATGTGACTCCAGACCCACAGCAATGTGGTTGACTCTTAACTGCCCTCTGGGCAATTAGGGACGGGCAATAAACGCTGTCTAGCCAGTGATGCCCTCATCCCGTGAACGAATACAGAAAAAAAAAACAACTTAATCTGTGCTAGCATTTATGCTTCACACACATAGGAAAGATGTTGTGAAACTTGAAAGAGTGCAGAAAAGATTTACAAGGATGTTGCCAGGGTCAGAGGGTTTGAGCTATAGGGAGAGACTGAATGGGCTGGGGCTATTTTCCCTGCAGTGTTAGAGGCTGATCGGTGACCTTAGAGAGGATTATAAAATCATGAGGGGCACGGATAGGGCGAATAGCCAAGGTGGAGGGCAAAACTAGAGGGGCATAGGTTTAAGGTAAAGGTGGGGGGGGAGGAAAGACATAAAAAAGGGAACGAAGGGCAACTTTTTCCACGCAGAGTGAAATGAGCTGAGTGAAATGGAATGAGCTACCAGAGGAAGTGGTGGAGGCAGGTACAATTACAACATTTAAAAAGGCATCTGGATGGGTATATGAATAGGAAGGGTTTAAGAGGGATATGAGCCAAATGCTGGCAAATGGGACATCGGGTCAGCATGGGCAAGTTGGACCTAAGGGCCTGTCTCCATACTGTACTTCTCTATGACTGTATACCATACTCCAGAGGGGGAAAAAAAAAAATCAGTTCAAATAAAAAAAACGTCATACTTGAAAATGAGCATATTGGACTTGAGTGGAAACAGACAAGATGAGACAGATGTCTAAGTTGCCAGTTTTACTGTTTTTTTCTCCCCTTCACCTCCCCCCCACCAACCCTACAGGAGATCTCATCCATCTACACTATTCCTCACTTAACACATCACCGTAGCAATACACCTGATCCCACTTTACTTCAATGTGATCCTTTACAGTTAGCCTGCCTACGTCATATGTAGTACAGATTTTGCAGTTTACCTTTATCCTCAGGGATCTGTGGCTCTGACGTTCCGTAAAAGAATTCCCGTCTGGCTTTTGCAATCCGCTGTGCGCGCTCAGAATGTTCCCCAACCAGTACGCAAGGCTCAGCCTTCAAGATAAAATGATAAAAGGAGCTTAGTGTTCATCACTGAGATCCAACATGCTGGTTGAGAAGTGATAGCTGATTGCTGCTTTGAGATTTCTTGAAGTTTGACAGGTAGACTGTGGGCCCCAGGGTTAACTGTGGAAATCAGTATTTCCTCCTGAAACCGCATTAATACAAGGGACTGCTCAGCTCGGTTTACTGTGTCTGGCCCATTGTGAGAAGCTGGAAAACTGACTCAATACAGTGGATTCGTACTGTCAGCCAAAGGATACAGTAAGACACTGTGCAGTTTCAACTTACCCATTTTCATATTCAACAACAGCTTCTTGCATTTTCGTAGCACCTTTAACATGATTTTTAAAAATTCAAGGGAACACAAAGAATACTGAACTCCAGTCACAAAAGCAGATAATGTGAGTGAAGTCACTTCAAAGCACTGACATGGGTCTTTTCTGCATCCTGTCTGTCTAAAGTGAAGTGCCTAGAACAAGGCACATGCTGCAGTGTTTTATAACATTCATCACAACTTCCGTGCTTTCATATTCTGTGCCCCTGATTGTAAAGCTTATATGTCTCCTTAACCACTTTCCCAGTTTAACTGGCAGTTTAACTGATCTGTGCAGAACCACTCCTAGACATCTAGTTACTGCAGCCCTTTCAGAATCGTATTTTTTTTAAAATCTTTCTACCCTCATTACTCCCATCAAAATGAATCGCTTTACAGTCCGCTGTATTAAAGTTCATCTGCCACTCGTATGCCCAGATTTTGCCCACTTGATGTTTATCACTATCCCCTTCGCAGATCAAAATAATCCCAAGTTTTCTGCCATCTTCAAACTTTCAAGATGTCTCCTGGGCAACAAGTCTAACTCATTCGGTTATTTCAAGAAATGCAGTGATTGACCCTGAAGAATACTACCCTCTGTACACAAAAAAACACTCACCACTGCTCTGTTCCATGTCAGACAACTTTTGACCCAAGCCAGTACTTTTTCACTTATCCTACAGGCTTTCCCTACTCCACCGATATACTATAAGTGTATGTTGAGCAGAAATGCCATCTGTAAAACTACAGAGGGAGCTGAAATAGCCCTCAATAACCTCCCCACGTAAAGTCACAAACCCCTAACAACTTGTGAAACACATGAAAACAAGGAGTACTGGAGAAACTCAGCAGGTCTGGCAGCATCTGTGAAGAGAAAGCAAAGTTGTGATTTTGAGTCCAGTGACCCTTCTTCAGAACAGCAGTCCAGGTCACTGGACTCAAAATCACAGCTCTGCTTTCTCTCTCCAGATGTTGCCGGATCTGCTGAATTTCTCTAGTAATTTCTGTTTGTGCGTGTGATCTCTGTCATCTCTGCTTTGTTTTATGAAATTTCTTTATTATCACTGATTCTGAAAGTGAATTCAACAGATCCGCTGGCAAGGTAAAATGTGGCATTTTAACAAATTGTTAACTCTCATTTCAGGTGGACAGTATTTGGCGAAGTTTACAAAACAGTTAAATAACACAAAATAGGCAGATATAGCATTGCATACAAAGTGTTTTGCGATGATTTTGAGAGGTATCTAAGAGGATCAAAGGGCATATATAATCAGCAACCTCTTGTACACAGAAATCCAATTAAGTAAACTTACAGAACAGCTCAAAGAAAGCCTGGTCGATGAATGTTTTCAAAACACAAACAATCCTGAGCAATGTTTGCAAACTGTACAAATATCAGGGATGAGTATTGTGTCATCAAATAGATCAAAGATTCACAATAAATTAGACTGCTGACATCTTATTCCAAGCCTTGCATTGAGCAACTAGGTTTGTTGTTTGAGAAATGCAAACGATGAAAAATGTGACATTTCTCCCATTATTTGCTAATGATCTTATTGCATTTTGTGGAACCCTGCAACTTGTGGACTGAATGTCGTAGGTCTGACGTTAAGAAACTATATTTCAAAATAGTCTTGCGCCAGGATGTTTAGGGAGCTCTGACACTAACACGCCAATAATCAGAATGTTCACACTGTACTTTGCTAGAACTAAACAGGTCCTTCCAAACAGTGGTGAGTGTGGTGATGACAGTTCTGCAAAAGCAGAGAACATTGAGAGGAATTTCCAGGCAGCCTTCCCCACTCCACCACTGTGATATAATTGTACGTTTGGCAATGCACATCAGTTCGTTAATATGTTTGGGCAGGCAGTGTGGCTGTGGTAATGGTAATATCACTACACTAGCAATTAAGAATCCCAGGCTAATGTTCTGGGGATAGCAGGAACTGCAGATGCTGGAGAATCTGAGATAACAAGGTGCAGAGCTGGATGAACATAGCAGGCCAAGCAGCATCAGAGGAGCAGAAAAGCTGACGTTTCGGGCCTAGACCCTTCTTCAGAAATGGGGGTGGGGAAGGGGGTTC